TATCTTGTTGTACGTGTAAATCTGCCATTTTAACTCTGTCTCTCCTCCTGGTACCCGTAATGAAGCGAAGAGCTCTATCTGGATCCGTTGCAACCGTAGCATGTTGGTCTTTGCTGTTGTCATTGGGACACATGGTATTCGAGTATAGGTCTTATTATCATTTTATACAGATGTTTTTTGACATGTGAAGGGGCTTGATTGAATCTAAAGAGACTGCTAAGACGGCTTTGGCTATGTTGATCTTTTTAGTTACATGAGATGTGATGGAGCAGCCTGTCTATTCATATATCCCAAGACTTGTTACGGTTTCTAATGGCTACAGGTGTACCTCTGATGGAATACCCCCTTTATCTTCGATGGTTGATGCAAAACATCCTATCGTGCTAACAACGACTTTGTCTGGATTAGTCGTAATTCTCCATTTCTTTTCCCAATTAGATGTTCGACTTAGTTCAATATTCATTTTCTAGGACTCTCTCATACTTGTATTTTCCTGTTACCGGAGTTGATGAGACGACATGGATAACATCATCTGCAAACTGTTATCATTAAACTCTGGTTGAGGAAGGTCATTTACATAAATGTTGAAGAGGATTGGACTAAGACAAGAACCTTGTGGACACCAGCTGTTGGTATAAAAGGTTCTGTCGACCTGCCATGAAAGGGGAATGATTTTTCTTTGTGTTAAGAAATTATATATTAATCTGAGAAAAGTCCAGTTATAGTCCGGTAGGTCAATGAATTGTATATAAGGCCATCATGCCATAAGCTATCAAAAGCTTTATGAACATCTCTGGTGGCAATTAGGGCAAGATTGCCTGATTTTTTAGACTTGCTACATATCGAAAATAACATTTATTGCATGATTGGTACCTCTATGTGTTCTAAAGCCAAATTGTTTTTCAGTAAAAAGGTGATTAAACTCCATATAGTAGTTCAGTCTGTTGTAAATGACCTTCTCAAGAACTTTTCCAGTGACTTTAAGTAAGATATAAGTCTATAGTTCCCTGGTTGGATGGATTCTTTATTGGGCTTAGCAAGAAAGATCATCCTAGCAGTCTTAAAACCACTGGAAAATGTCCTGAGGCCAAGATGGCATTAAAGATATTAACCAAAGACTGTTTACAATTTCTGGGTAGGAACTTTATTTTTCATTGTTATTCCAGAGAGACCAGGGCTCTATTTCGCATTCTTCCAATAACCTAGACTCATCTCGAGTAATGTAATAGTCTAGTAAGCGGGTGGGAGTCTTCAAGATTTGATGTATCGATAGAAGGTAGTGGTTGTATATCATCTAAGTTCTCATCTCTCCATTCATTTGCCAACTGATAGTGATTATTGTTAAATCGACGAGTGTTATTGTGGGAGAGAATTTTCTCCCATACATCACCCATCAAATTAGCCTGGTCCTGTGGATCATCAAGTTTAATCTCAATATTTTCATCATCCTCATCAGTGAAGGTATGAATTAGGTAGTTAGAAGCCTTGTGCTTTGCCCCTAACAGTTGTCGAATCTTACTCCAAAATTTTGCTGGCTCATGTTTATACTGATTAGTTTGAAGAACTATCAATTTCCATAAGTCCCGTTTGTGATGACTAATCATGTTAATTAATTCTTGCCTCAATCTGTGCAATGTAGCTACTGGTGGTTGTCGCGTTTGAAGATGCCTTCGACATTCTGCTTGATAATTTCTTAAAGCATCTCTAATTTCCCTAGTAGGTTTATATTGTTGATAGATCTTTGTGGAAGCTAATTGGCAAGTTGCATTAGTAGCTTCAAATTATTCTATTGTGAAGGGGACCTGAGTGCGTCATCAATTGCAGTGGAAGGTAGATTTTCCAATGACAATTTCATCTTTGCCCAGAAATGCCCTGAAGGGGTCAAATCCTAGGGTGTTAAGATTGGGTTTAGGAGGTACAGGTATTCTAAATGGAGAAGTTTGTAGTTGTATTATAACAGGGATATGGTCAGATCCTACGTTTCCACCAGGAGAGATACGACAATGAAAGAGGTCACAGTCTCTGTTTGTCAGTACTATATCTTGTGTCCCTGGATGAGGTCCAACGTACGATTTAAAGAATGGGCCTTGAAATGACAACTTTCTAGCTGTCATGATATTAAATAGTTGCTTTCCTTTTAAGTCACCTAGTGGAATACCAGCTCCACAGTTAAAGAGGGCAGAATTGTTGGAATATTTCTGCTTAATATCCTATGTAGAGGAATTGACTCTATATATTGTTTTCTCGGGGGAAAATATCCAGTTCCTATCACTAGTTGGCCATGAGACGTTGTCATTTCTATTGCAAGAATGTTATCTTCATCAACATGAATATTTTTAAATGTATAGCCTAATTTAACTAAGATGGCTACACCACTAAAAGTTCCTCTCCATTTCTCCACAGTAGAGTAACCACGTAATTTAATATGTTGATCAACTCTTGCAGCTGTCTCATTCAAGAGTATAACATCGAGAATGTAATTATGTAGTTCAACCTCAAGGAGTAACGGTTATTAAAGAAATGTTGAACATTAAGTTGGAAAATTGTAATCCCCATTATTTCTTGCACTTCGCTCGTGTACTGCGGTCTGAACGCCTGCAAGTAATGTTATATTTGGTATCCACACTATCCCTGCTGGACTCGTCAAGGGGAGGAGGGAACTTCTGAGTAGTTGCTTGTGTATTAAAAGTGTCACCATCTTCAATAGAATTGGTAATATTAACAGAATCATTAGAGTCATTAGAGTCATCATCAGAAAACTGAGGTATGATATTCCCAGTTACAGAAAGAGGTCTCGTGGAGGTTAATGGTGAGACTGAGGAAGCTCCAAAGGAAAAATTGGTAGGCAAGGTGAATTACCCTGGGAAATTTCCTGTATTCCACAGGACCAGCTTCAAATAGCGGAGAGTAAGCACCAATCTCTGGGGCATCGTTATGGATAGGTATTGACTCAATCATCGGATTGAGGGAGTTGACAACTGGGTATGCGATGTGGGTGATCCCTGTACCCAAGGAAGACTAGGCTATTTGTAGAAGTAGAGAAGGGAACTATACTTCTTGTTATGAGAAGCTGGTCCCATAATAACCTTCACATTTTCTGGGATAATGATGGGAGTGATCCCATTATCCATTACCAAATCATTAAAACCTTAGAGCAGACTGAATGTCACCAACCTGCTATGACTTTGGCCATCATTCTACATCAGTTGGGCTCTCGTCCCATATCCGCGGCTGGAGATATCTGATACATGGGAATGAGACTGAACTTGTCTGTTGCATTTGTGTAATGATGTATGTGAGGGTTAGATGGGGCAACTCCAAGAGTGGGCAGAAGTCCAAACATTGGAGAACCAGTGGAAGAGACCTGAGGAGTCCCAGTAATTTTTCTAGATCCAGGCAAAGCTGGAAGGAAGTATTGGGGTTATTGGTTGGAGGTGCCTGGGGAGTGTCTTCTTAGAAAGTGAACAGGTTTCTTAGCTTCCTAGAATTTTCTGCCTATCCTTTTTCCTCTCAGGACAGATAGCAGAAAACAAGATGTTTACCATTGCAGAGTACACACTTGGGTTTAGTTTTATTCACAAGTTTTGAAAGAATTTGCCCAGAGCATATGCTGACAAATCAGTGCTTGGTTACTCATTTTGTTAGGTGGTATGCCCAAATGCGTAACATTGTAACATTGGTGTCATCTGACAAACCGATCAATAGAGATTTGGTCAGGGTGTAATCATCTTGACCCAAAACATTTGAAAGCCATTTTGGGCGTACATATTTGGCTTCTTCATGTCTCAAGTAGAATTTTAATGTTTCTGTTTGTTACTAGGTTTAGAAAATTTATGTGCTTGGACAGCATGAAATTCTGAATTCTCTGCATAAAAGTCAGCAAAAAGTTCATTCACTGTGCTATCTCTCATGATGCTGTTAATTCTGGCAACAAACACAGTTCGTTTGTGCTTGATAGCTTTCAGGTGCAATTGGGTGGATACCCAAAGTCTTCAATTTGTCCAGGACGTCCTGCTTAAGTAGTTGAAGTAACTCTTCTTCAGAAGAGAGGAGAAGTACTTACCCCAGCGAGAGTTGTAAAAAACTCCACTCGAGCAACAGTTGAAATTGAGCAAATGCATGCTAGAATTTCCTTCCTTGACTTTTGGTTGTCATCACACCCGTAATCTTACTCTTATCCGCGCCATGATGTCCAGGAAGGTACATCTGGCACATAAGTTACTTTTAACAAAAAGGGTCTTTCCTTAGTGTTAGTCTAACATTCTATTTCACTGATTTATGAAGGTCAGCCCCTAAGATAGCCTACCCTCGAGTGGTGTGGGGGACACGGGGCCCCTAAGAAAAGCCTACCCTCGAGTGGTGAGGGGAAAAGGGCCCAAGACAAAATGGGCCGGATTTTAAAAAACCAAAACGGTTTCCCGGGATGTCAAAATGCCTTGTGTTAACTCGCCAAAGCGAAGTTGCCGAAAAAGAAAGAAGATAGGAAAGTCAGAAGGAAAGCAATGTATGTAGTGTGTTAGTGTGTGGGCCCAGTGTAGTTGTTTGGGTGAGGGAATGAAGGGGAAGGATGGGGGGATGGGGAAGAGGAGAGTGAACAAGCAAGCAAGTCACCGCCTTACCCTCTTGACGGGATGGGGCTCGAAGTGACTGCAAACAAGTTTCCTCTCAGCTCTGGTGAAGAACAACTCAGGATAACCCCAAGAAAAATCTCGAGCAACATGTTCAGAGTTGCTCAGCTCGAGAATTACTCAGGATAACTGAAAGCTGGAACGACGACGCTTCTCTCCCCCGGCGGCTGGGCGGTTTTCCTGCCCAGGGGTGCCTGTGTCTGTGTCTGTGTCTGTGTCTTTTGTCGGGAGACAATGAAAAAATGGGCCACGTGGAATATATGAAGGACCTACCCCCCTGGATGGTTTTTTTTTTGGGTGACTTTTTGCCGATGTTGTATAACTAATGCCCAAGTATAAGAACAAAATAAAAGTTATAAACTCCAGAGACTGAACGAACAACAAATGCTCAAACAAGTGACTTAATAACTTCATCCCTAACAAATTTAAAATGATGAGCACAGATAGGACAGAGGATAGCATGGAAAGGGATAATTTTGCTATTACCAGAGAGCGAAGAGGACCTGGGATAATTTAAACGTCAAACATATTACCAAGATATTCATAACCCTTTTTAAACGTCATAAATAAGATTAGATAACCTCAGAAAATCATTGAAGAAAATTTAGTAAAGTTTCCTTCTGAACCTTATATACGATATACGTTAGGCCTGATCATTGAAAAGAGGCACAGAATAAGAATAGACCGGGTCATGCACATTACAAAGCTTTAAATGCCACAGGATAGTATCAACCTTTGAGAAAGTTTGAAAGGCCTTTTGGACATAGAGAAATATATTAAAACATTATTCATACAAAATATTATGAACTTAATACGGCATTTAAAAGGACAAACTTTTCGAATTAAATAGGACCAAAGAAAGAAAGTAGAGGCAAAATGTCTACATAGAAATGTACACTCAAGCCCAGAAAAAAGGTGGTATAACATGATCCCCACAACCCCACACTAAATAGAAAGGAAACCGAGACAAGAATGCGACAACACCAGAGCAGTTGTGTAAAACAGTAACAGAAGAGCGTAAAATGAGCAATGCAAAGCTGTTGATCAAGGAATTAGACTGGGAGAATCACAAGCCACACAGACGGACCAGGAATGAGGAGAGCTAAGATGCCAGACATCAGCCTGGGGAAAAAGAGAGATGGCATAGGGAAACCAAACTTCGAAAGAGGTGACCGCACAGGTATGAGGCAATTCTTTAATGAGGTGCAGTGGGAAAAGCAAGTGGACGGTAAAACAGCAGTTGAGATAGATGATGTATTTCAACTGAAAATTACTGGGAAGCACTTTCCCCCGTTTTTTGAAAATGTGTATTGGACTGTTTTTGAAAAAAATTATGAATAATTTGGGGAGTTTGTTGTGCACTAACACATCCTTAAATTTAATTTAACTTTAAAGATGAATATGAGATTTTTACCTAACATTTCATTTTATTGTACCTATTCGAAACCGAAAATTATTATGTTTAAAAATAAAGTCCCCCAGAAGTAACACACCCATAATTTTAAAAAAAAAAATTCTGTTGGTAAAATATTGCTAGTTAATACAAAAGTTATGAATTTTGCTAAAAACTATTATACATGATAAAATAATTTATCCAAAATAACTAAGAGTAACCACTTTATGTAAATAATTTTGAAGGGAAAAACCTACTTGTAGGTTCCCGGTGCACTGGCGTTTCCCCGAAGGTGGCGGAGGGTAGAGTCTCAGAGTTTCTGAAATATATAGTCTTAATTAACTGAAAAAAAACATATATGAAGAATTATTAGAAAGAAATCCTCTATTATTATATTCATGAACAAAAATTATGTAACGAAAAAAAATACATCTTAGTTATATGTTAATATTTCAGTGTTATTTTCGTGCATTATTTTATACTGTTGTGTTTGTGGGATTTTTATACACTTGAATTTAAATACTTAGGTTTCCTTTGTTGTGTGTGCAACATATTTACAATATAGAACTTGTGTTTAAACTTCAGAATTCCAGTGAATTAACTCAGTAAATTTTTCACCTCATATTCTGCATCACAACTCAGTGTTGTCTGTTATTTTTTTTCTTTTCCCAGCATTTGTGTAATTTTTATTTTTGTTCCCTGTGTGTTGAACATTCTTTTGTTCATTCCTTTATTCACCAGTGTTTAAATTGTCTTATTTCCACAGACAATAGTGCCATTTTTTTTAAATCCCAGCAAGAGCTCCATTTTTCAAAATTTTTCACACCAAATTTCATTGCAAGAAAATTCTAGTACTGGTTTTATGTTGATGTTTTGTGTTCTGCATCACTGTAAGTGTTGTATTCCTTTTTGTTGTGTGTTTTTTTTGCACCTATTATTTTTTTTTCATATTTTATTGAACAAATTCACTCTTAGTGCAGTTTTTGAGTTCTCCTTTTTGAAGTAAATTGTTTCTTTGCTTGTTGTTTAAGTGCAGTTAAGAGTTAAATTTGTTTCATTCCTTGATATATTTCTTTTCCTTGTGTTATTTTTTTTATTATTTGCACATAGACTCATTTTGCAATAATTCTTGTGCAAATATTGGGGTTTGCTATTAAAGTTTTTCTTGCAGAAAATTTATGCAGTGTTGTGCAATACAGTTTATTAAAAGTGCATTTTCTTATGTTCTGTTCTGTGCATAGTATTTTATTCTGTCCTGTGTCATTTATTTTTTTAATTTCATGAATTGGGGTGTTTGTTTTAATTTTTGCAAAAGTTTTATTGAGTCCATTTTATTTTTTTATTGTGTATTTTCCTTGTTGCATTGAAAGTAAAGACAACCACTGTGCCATTTTATTCAATTTAAAGTAAAAGTTGAGCAAATTAGATTTGAGCAAAGTACAAGTTCTCTTGATTTTCAGTTTTTTTAAAGTTGCATAAATTCTTGTGTGAGTTTCTTTGCTTACTGTGTAACTTGTAAAATTTTTAATTACTTATGCAGAATAGTTAAGCATTTTTTTTCCATTTAAGCTTATTGTGTCATTCTCTCCACTTTTCTTGACTTATGCCCTTCAGTATTTTCACTGAAAGATGTCCCAGCCCTTTTTTGAATATTCACTTATTGTATCATGCCAGTCAAAGTCAATAGAATCAGTCCACAGTACCAACATTCCCTTACTGACTGAAAGACAATACCTTTACCCCTTGAGCAATGTGTTTGTTCTCACAGCTTGTATCTGAGATTTTTAAAGTGCTGCGAAATGTGAAGTTCAATTAAGTTCTTATAGATCCGTGAATTACTTATTACGTAGCCGAGCGGTCAGGCCTAGAATTCTGTCATTCCCGTCTGTGTTCCACCTATACCTTCAGACTTGCAGGATAGTGTTCCGTTGCCTCAAGTGTCCGGGGACACTCAGACTGCCTTGAGGGGCACAGCCTATCCCTGCAATGACTGCTATTTTCGAGTAGTAGTTTCTCCACAGGGATCCTTGTCAGAAAACGTTACTTGCAACTAGTAATGCCATCTCTTGTTGTGTGACATGCTGTCTGCAGAAAGACGTCTCTTTTACAGCTAGTTTTTCTCACTAGAGTGTCTGTTGTTGTTTCCCAATGTTCCCCGATGGTGATCCCATCCTAGTTGACAGTAATCAGTGCATTGTAAGAAGTTATTTTCCCCGATTTAAATTTCACATGTTTAACGTTTGTAAGTGTAGTTTTCTTTATAGCTGATACCTCGTGTCATGTGTGCGACTCAGATTGAATATCACCCTTGTTCCACCGTGTTCATTTCTTTTCTCCTGTGCTTGCAGTTGAGATAGAGATTCGTTCTCCCTTTTCCATATTGCGTGTTATAGCGTTTATTTTTTCAACCGGGGGGAGTCTCCACTCCACCGAGTTTGTTCTTTCCTCCAGTAAGGAAGAACTGTTACCTTTATTCCAGAACAAACAGCCTACTGGAAGGTAGCCAGATGGACCTTGACATCCAAGAGTTCAATCCCACTTTTGAAAATTTACCTGCAAGTCAATGTAGTCGCAGATGCTTTATCGCGACACGTTAGTGTATTAAATGCAGATCCTCCATTAACTGTCGAGGATGTCAAAAATGCCCAGAGAACCGATCCCTTGTGTTCTGGGTGATTCGATTCCTGCCCAGGAAGAGCTTATTCTTACGTAAGCCACCAGTACCCATTAGTGACTTTTTTAATGAGCCAAGAATTACTGTTTTCGAATATCGAGTTGAGTACTCCTAGCGAACGAGTTTAGTAATTCCACAGTCACTAGTGATTGTAGTTGTATCTTTTTGTAGATACCGTTCAGATCTCTCAGTCAAGGCATGTGTTAGCCATTGCAGAGGAATTCAATCCTCCCAAGATGATAAACCATTCTGCATACGTAAACCTCAAACCCCCGCAGAATGGGTTAAGTGTAAACAGCCTGCATAATTAGATGTCCGAGATGAATGAATTTGTCAACTGTGTGTTTTTATTATTAGCTGATCAGTTTGTCAGAAATTTTCGTGTTCACGTTCCCTCCGATTCTGAGAATTAACAGTCTAGATTTGTTGCACCGATCTGTCTTTCTGTTAAACACTTCTTGTATATAATATTCTTCCTCAGAATCCGTAGAGTCATGAATACAGATCGATCGATCAAATTTCCCTCCATATTGTATAATGATTTGTTCTTATAGTTTGTAATGATTACGTTAACACCCATTACGTCCCAAAAACATGTTGTACCATCCATTAGTTCTAAGTTAACATGAATTTGTTATTGTATAGAATCAGCCCAGATCCCCTGCCTGTTCAGCCTATAGTATAGTAGTGTATGTCGGGACGACATACTAACATGACCGAGCTGTCAGCATAGTTGCTGATCCTGTAATTCCCAGTATTATAAAAGCATAGCAAAAATAGATCATCCCTGTGCTTTAGACACGAATCCCCTCGTGGCCTTTGGCTTTGTGTGACGTCATAGGGATACACATGGGCAGTGATCCCTCTGTCCCGTTCTCACTCGGGCGGCAGACCTACAAAAGGGGTGAAACAGGCTAGGCACCGGGCTCCATCTCTCATCTCAGTCTGACAATACACCTACCATCCTACAAAATGTGTCTAAACCCTTTTCCTAAAGATATCTCCATTCAAGAACCCTTTACGATAACACTTCTACAACCTCGCCCCCCACCAGTTTACATCCTAACACATACAACCCACACTTCTACAACCTCGCCCCCCCACCAGTTACATCCTAACACATACAACCCACACTTCTACAACCTCACCCCCCACCATTACATCCTAACACATACAACCCACACTTCTTTACAAACCTCACCCCCCCCACAGTTACATCCTAACACATACAACCCCACACTTTTACAACCATCACCCCCCACCAGTTACATCCTAACACATAAAACCCACACTTCTACAACCCGCCCCCCACCATTTTACATCCTAACACATAAAACCCCACACTTCAAAAACCCCCCACCATTTCATCCAACACAAAACAACCCACTTTTTCTAAAACCCCACCCCCACCATTTTACCAAATCCTAACCAACAACCCCACTTCACAACCCTCCCCCCCCACCATTACATCCAAAACACAACAACCCACACTTCTACAACCCCTCCCCCCCACCGTTACATCCTAACACTACAACCCACCCTTCAACCCCCCTCCCCCCCACCATTTACATCCTAACACAACAACCCCCCTTTCTACACCCCTCCCCCCCCCCACCATTTTACATCCAACACATACAACCCACCTTTCAAAACCCCCCTCCCCCCCCAGTTACATCCAACACAACAACCCAACTTCTACAACCCCCCCCCCCCACCATTCATCCTAAACACATACAACCCCACTTCACAACCCCTCCCCCCACCTTACATCGTAACCATACAACCCACATTTTTTAAAACCCCCTCCCCCCCCCCATTTTACACCTCCACATACAACCCACACTTCTAAAACCCCCTTTCCCCCAACCTTACATAAAACACATACAACCCCCACTTCTACAACCCCTCTCCCCACCTTTTTTACATCCAAAACACATACAACCCACATTTCAAAACCCCTTTCCCCCCACCATTTTTTACATCCTAACACATACAACCCAAAACTTTACAACCCCCCCCCCCCATTTACATCCTAACAAAAAAACCCCACACTTCAACAACCCCCCCCCCCCACCAGTTACATCCTAACCATACAACCCAACTTCAAAACCCCTACCCCCCCCCAACCATTACACCCTAACACATACAACCCCACTTCTAAAACCCCCCCCCCCCCACCATTACACCAAACACAAACAACCCACACTTCTACAACCCCTCCCCCCCCCAGTTAATCCTAACACAACAACCCACACTTCAAAAAAACCCCTCCCCCCCACCATTACATCCTAACCATACAACCCACACTTCTACAACCCCTCCCCCCCCCCCCATTACATCCAACACATAAACCCAAATTTCTACAACCCCCCCCCCCAAACCAGTTACACCTAACACAAAAACAACCCAACTTCTACAACCCCCCCCCCCCACCATTTTTACATCCAAACACATAAAACCCCAAACACTTCTACAATCCCCCCCCCTCCACCATTACTCCAAACACATACAACCCCACTTCTACAACCCCCCCCCCCCCCACCATTTACATCCAACACATACAACCCACACTTCTACAACCCCCCCCCCACCAGTTATATCCTAACCATAAAACCCACACTTTACAACCCCCCCCCCACCATTCC